TTTTCTTTTGATTCATATATCTTAGCCTGATTGATTGAGAATGACAATAGATGTAGGAAAATAGAATGGAGCAATAAAGCCCTGCTTTCTCTGGCTACAGAACCAAAAAAAGGTCAGCTTCCTAAAGACAGAAGACTTTTAGAAAGTTAACTTCTTGTCCCAAGGAAACAGTATGGGAAATGGTTCTGATCCAGCCTCAATATTATGTCGTTTGGGACAACAAAAGTACAGAAGAAATTTGTAGGTGGAGACTGCTTGTTTGTTACTGGATATCCAAAAGCAAATAAGCACACAGCAACTATGTTAATTACAACACTGCTTGGCCAATAGCTTAAGCATATTCCTGGCTAACTCTTATATCTTAACCCATTTCTTTTAATCTGTGTGTCATGAGGGTGTGGCCTACTGGTTAAGTTCTAGCCTTCTGGCATCTTTCTCCTTCAGCAGCTATATAGCATCTCTCTGACCCCACCTACTCTCTCTCTATATCTCTTCTAGCCTCACTGTATTCTGCCCTGCTATAAGGCAAAGCAGCTTCTTTATTAACCAATGGTAGTAAAACATATTCATAGCCTACAGAAGGGAATCCTACATCAGAAATTTTTAAACCTGAGATTCATGAGGTGAAAAGGCCAACCACATGATTGTAAAATTAAAGCAAACTGGTTTTTTTATAATATAGAAATGGATACAATTTGTTTTAGACATTATCAGTAGTAAAACAGAAACCAATTGTCACACAATGTAGAAAAATGTACAACTTAAAATTTGTTACAGACAGAAACCTAGAAATAATAATCTAGGCAATTTAACTGTGAACAATCTTCAATATAAACAAGTTCAACGAAGTCCTTTAGATGCAATTTCTTTTGGGTTCGCCGCAACACTTTTTGTAATATTGTATGTTTTGTAAATTCCAATAAATCTATCTGAAATCTCAAACATATTATTCCGGAGAGAAATTATTATGAACTGGGCATTTTTGGTTTGCTCTTATATGTAAAATGCAACAATCGACACATTTTTAAAATCCAGGGCTGCATCAATCTCATCCATGTTTTGCATTCTACCTAGGACTGGCTGCTGGCTGTCTCACCCTAAATCTGGATTTGAGAGAGCAGCCTCTGCTGGCCTCTTGAAGTCCCTTATTTAGAAGAGATAAGGTATTCATTCACAGGGGTGAGAGTTGGCTGATGTACACTCTTAGAAAGGTACAGTGAAAGTGAAGAAACCAGGGTAAGGGTAACATCCTGTTTAGATCTCAGAGCAATGATGACTGGGTTGTTAAGAGAGCTGTTCTTATAAAACCTGACGAGACCCTAAGTGGAGAAGCGCATGGAACCCCACGTCAGAGTTTCAAAAGCAAGCCAAGAAAGTCTTAGAAGCCAACAGAGTCAGTGCCTTTCCAACTTGGAGTAAGCAATGCAGAGGACAGTTAACCTCTCAGGACAGATGGAGGTCAGCTGGAAGTGGAACCTTAATCAGCATACTGAAATTGCCCTCAAAAATGAAGAGAGGTCAGGATGATCTCATCTAAAGCAAGGCCACCCTACAGCATGGCTAAAGAATATTCTCTCCCTTCTGTTCTCCCTACTACTCATGAATCTGTGATTATAGGAAATTGGAAAGACTTTTAAATGAAAGGATGAAGATGAACAACTTGAAAACACTGAGAATCACAGGATGGCTGTGCATACAATAATTTGTATTAAAAGTTAGATAGAGTTGTATAGTCTATGTTATTACAAAATTAGAATTCTAATTTTGCCGAGTGGAGATTTGAGGGAAAAAGAATACATTCTTGAACATGCAAGGGTCTGAGGAACAAAATATCTGGTCTCTACCTGCAGGCTAATAGGGATAAAACTGAACTGATAGTGTAGCTCACATATACTATGATGAGATCGCAGTCATGCAGTCATTTCTAAGTGTGTCTGCACAGTGAATCCAGCAGACGCTTAGATGTTGGCACGCACTGTGTTGTTCTTGTTTCAGAACCAGTTGCTGTGGTGATGGTGACTTAGTTTTGGGTAACTTTAAAACCATAAATTTATTTCTCACAGTTTTGAAAGCTGGGAAGACAGAGGTCAGGGTTCAGGCAGATCCTGACTGGCACAGGCTCGTTGTCTGCTTCAGAGACTGAGCGCTCGCTGCCTCCTCTCCTGATGGAAGTGGGCCATGCAGCTCCTTAGCCACTTTGTAAAGGTGCTGGTCTCATCATAAGGGCAGGGCTCTCCTGGCTTGCATACTTACCAGATGTTTCATGTCTTTGAAAATACATTTTATCTAATATTTGTACAATATGTTTGTTCGAATCCACCTCCAATTCCTCTCCCACCACTACCCCTTCTTCCCAATTTCTTATGCTGGCCTCCTCCCCCTGTCCCTCTGATTCCCCTTCTCCTGAAGAAAACTGAATGTCTCTCCCCCAGCTGTGACCAGCTGTCCATAGCGGCCTTAGACTTGGTGGGGTGTAGCAGGCTTTCTTAATTGGACGCTGGATCATCAGCCTCCAAATAACATGGAGACTTATTAATTATGAAAGCGTATCCTTTAGCTTAGGCTTGTTTCCGACCAGCTCTTATACACTAAGTCATCCCATATTTAGTAAGTCTACGTTCTGCCATGTGTCTCGGTTCCCTCCCCTCAGGAGGCACATCCATTTGTTCTGAGCCTGCTAGCAAAACTGCATACCCAGATTCTTTCTCACCTTCCTCTCCCTCCCCCTGAAAGTCCTGCCTGTTCTCTCCTGCCTACCTATAGGCTATTCAGCTGTTTAGTATACCAATTAGAATGCTCCTTTGCAAAGACACATCTCTACAACGTACAAAAAGATTATCCCACAACAGTGGGGATTAGTTATCTTATAATATGTGAATTTGGGGCAATATTAAGATATGGTAGGATCAGGGTTGGGGTGTGGCATGGTCAAGAGATAAGTGAAGCCAGCACCTAAGTACTCCTCAGTCTGTGCCTTCAGTTTTCATCTAAGCAAACCCCTGTGCTCTTTTAAGATTATATAAATAGAATATTAGAGTCTTTTAACTACGTTCTGACCCCAGAGATCAGGAATAATTAAAGGTAGAAAGGCCAAAATTGAAAATTCTTTATAGAAAGTTCAGATATGTCATTTAAGATTAATATACACTGTAAACAAAACAGTATTCTGTAGTTGGCCTTCCGAGCAATATTCTCTAATTAACTTGTTTAAAATTGCTTCTTGCAACCCCGGTTTTAGCATCTTTCACCAATAAGCTAGGATGTTGGTGACCTTTGATACTTTTTTTGGTTTGGGGAGATTTTGCTGGCATTTTGAGAATATTATTTCTAAAAATAAGTGCAAAAACCAAAATAAGATTTTAGAAGTTGCTCCCTGGTAGCTGGAGGATTAGAAAGTAGAATCTCCCTTCTCACTTTGTTTCCACTGTAGCTAGAGATACAGGTTTGTGCTTTTCTCTCCTCTCCTTTGAACCGGCCGGGACCTGCTCAACCTCATGTGTCAGTGGCAAATCTAATATCTCCCACACAGGTAAATACTGTGCTTTCTGCTGTGAGGTTCAAAGAAACATGTGGATTGATGTATGAGCCTGTGTGCAAAAACAGCAGCAAATTCCCTGGTGTTTGAAGAAAACATGCGTGGTTTGAATAGAGAATTCACACCAGTAATTGCTTAGCAATATGCTTTGATTTTTTCCATTATTTCAGACATTGTATTTAAATACATAGCACACAGCAAATATAGTTGAGCTCAATGAAGATAATTACATTATAATTGAAGGTTTAAATGGACATTTCCATTGAAAATGATGTTTCTAAGCAATATTTGTTACTGTGTTTATTGCACTTTGGATTGTTAGTCCTACCATGAAATGAAGAATAATTATATGCAAACTTCATCACAGTGTCCTTCTACAAAACCTGTCTCAAAAGTTTATATACATAGATGTTAAAAACTGTCTTTTGCAGATATTATATATGCATTCATAAAAGAATGACATTTGAAATAGTTTCAGAAATAAGGTAGATTCATGCCTGTGTTTGTAAACATAGAACCAGCCCAAGCAATTGCAAACTCAAATCTGTACACAGGAGTATTTCTTAAGCCATGGCTATTGAGTTTTCATGTTTTTAAATACTTGTTTCATTTTGGAATCTTATAATGAATAGATTTCAATGAATCAAAACATTTCATCTTCATCTCTGGCCATCAAAATGATCAATTATATAGCTTGCTCTCTATGGTTACTGACAACCACCATTCCTTTTTTGTGATTTGGTTTTTACATGTGGATCTTTGAAGAATTATATGTTTGAAATATACTTGAATGTAAAGCAGGATCCATGCGGTTAATAAAGGTCATGGTTAGTAGTCTAAGTGTGAGAAGGGAACACTCTTCAAGTGTGACTCAAGATTACGGGAGCATCTGTTTATAGGATATATACAAACGCTGTGATGTTATCACATCAGCCTACAAAGGAATCAGTTTGTCACTTCGAAGTCAGAGAGCGCATGCTTTGTTTGATCTGGTCCTCAAATCGATACCATCAGCTGCAAAGTATAAACGGCATCATAGGACAGATGTGAGAGTGGCATGAGCTGTGCAGTAATCCTGGTCTTAGAGTTCACTGTTTTTCTTATGATAACCTAATGAGCGCGTTAAAAACATTTAACAAATTCTGAAGTAATCGTTAGGTAATCTTAAGCATGATGGATAATTTCTTTATAGTTATATACTGAATAAGTCTACAGAGAAGTTATTAAAATTTAACTGAAATCAGAAACATGAATATTAATAGAAGTCTGCCTTTTCAATTGAACTCCTCAGAACTGTGGAGTTCAGGTGACTTTTTTTTTTTTTAATTCTTCTCTCACCACAGTGTCTGCTCCCTCCACTCTTCCTCAGGAGAATGTCATCGCTAGTCTATGACCTCAGGATGCACTGTCAAGCATTGTTCCTTCTTGACCTTTAAAATTCTAATTACTCTCATGTTTGTTACAGCTTTAGGAGAACTACTTGAAAATTTTGTTCTTCATCTCACCGAAAACCCTTCTGAATGCTACTTCCCTTCAGTGGAGTATACAGGTATCTTTTTAAATATTGTGATTTTTGCAAGATGCTCAACTTGTAAGTAGGTGCTGTTTTATAGTGACATGCGTGCTGAGTGCTGCAATGCGCAAGCTTTCCCATCTGAAAGTCCTCTCACTTTACAACCTGGGATGCTGTGACCTTCATCTGCTTCTGGTCTCCAGTGCAAACTTTTTTCTTGGTAGCATTGCCTGCTCTTCTATCATACTCATCAACTCATAACTATCTTACTGTGTTTGTCTGCTGTAAGACTGTAAGAAAGTTATAGCAAAAGTTTATTTTGACCCATTATTCTGTCTCAACATCAAAGAAATGTAACTGGCGATGCCTTCTTGCTTTTTGGTCTCTCTGTGATATCATTTGGTTAACATCAGTCAGTGTGTGTGTGCGTTCTTTCTCTCATCTAATCCTAATAGCCTTCTGAAGAGCCTGCCTTGAAAATGGCGAGTCACATTAAGTTTTTGCTTCTCTTTATAAAATAATTATTATTTTCATTTCATGTGTATATGTTTTGCCTGTTTGTATGTATGTGGTGTATGTCTATGTTTTCTGTCTGTCTGTCTGTCTATCTGTCTGGTACCCAGAGACCAGAAAGAGGCACTAGGTCCCTTGGAAATGGAATTAAGAATGTGTGTAAGCTACCATGTGAGCGCTGGTAATGAATCCAGGTCTTCTGTAAGAACAAAAAAACTTTGAACCACTGAAGCATCTCTCCAGTCCCTCAGTTTCCCTTTAGAAAATAATACTCTTTTCTATGGTATATTTTGATCATATTCACACATGACTACTCCCAGATATACATAGCCCACCATTCTTAATACATTGAGTCCAATTTGTGTTTCTTAAATACTCTGAGAATTGACCTACAAGGGCTTACACTGTTAAAGGAAGTTGACCCTTTCTACCCTTTGCTATCAAATGGCAATTGCTTCTTAGCTAAAGGTAGGACTTTATGCCGTTGCCCTCTCTCTGTGATGGGCGTTTGTCTGCCCTGAGCATGTTCCTGTCTCATGAATGCTGTCACAGTCTCTGAATTCACATGGGTAATTTCCCTGTGTTTTTTTTTTTTTTCTGGAAAACGCTATTTTCTTGTAGCCATCACTTACAAACTTTCTGCCTCCTCTTAAGTTTCTGATTCTGAAAACTCTCATTAGGGACTAATCTTCATGTTTCATTTCAGATGAGATTAAACAGTAGCATTTACCTATCTCATATAAATTAATGATTTTACAATTTCCATCTTCTAGTCTGAGGTTTTGGCTTTGTCAGCTTCATTGCCACACTTCTAGTTGCTAATTAAGAGCAGTAGCTGGATGCTGGCTACCATGACATCCTTAACCTCAGCATGTCAGCAATAACTGCCTTGTACCTATTGACTCTGCTGTCTTTGTATGTGTCCCGTCTTGGTAGGAGGTGCATCCAGGTGGGAAACTGAAGTCAGCGTTGATATTTGCCTTCCAGTACTACTCCTGTGTTCTTACTATACCTCTGCTGCATCTCAGATTTATTCCATTCTGTTCCTCATTATTCTTCTTTATGTTAATTAAGGCCAGCATCACCTCTTGCCTAGGGTATCAAAGACCCTTTGTGTGCTTTTCAATTTTCAGCTCGTTGTTTAACACATACATTATTGTTGTCTCTGGGGTTGTGTTTTGTTTGAGACAGATCTTCACAGTGCAACTAGCTGGCCTTGTACTTCCTGTCCTCCTGTTTCAGCTTCCCTAGGATAGTCATAAGACATTTATGCCACACACCCAGCAAAATGATATTCTGTGCAGATAGTAAGGGTGATCCTTGGCATGCAAATCTGTATCTATTCGTTCCTCTACTTCTTCCCCTGACTACTGAGTAGAGTCTAAACTTCTTATGTTACCCATACTCTTAATTGCTTTGCTTCTTTTATTTTTCCTGATATCATCTTTTTCTCTCCATGACTTAAGTTTATTTATTTATTTTATTGAATACCGCTGTTAACGCCACTGCTAACTTTCTCCTGTTCCAAATAACTGCATATTCATTTTTTACCAAGCACATATTGTAGCTGTGTATTAACACTTTTCTAGTTATTTGTTATGAATATTTGTGTGCTTTGCATTTTATAAGCTTACTATGGCTTTCCTGTTAGAAAAGACTGAAGGAGGAAAGGGGATACAGCAGAGGGGTCCAGATAAAAAGTACGACAACTCATATGTGGGCCCCAATAGTGAAGGTAGGAAGAAGCATTTGGATGCTGAGTACATTGTGAGCATATGGCTGTCCAGACCAAATAATAGGTTGACTATAAGATGTGAGAGAAAGGAGGACCCTGGTCAATGTTCTGACCTGCTGAGAGGATGCACTGACTGTACAGCAAAATGAAGAAGTTTCTCTCTTATATATGATGTTGTATAAGTATGTTAGGGTTTCTACTGGTATGATGAAATACCATGACAAAAAGCACCTTGGTGAAAAGGGTTTGTTTGGCTTGTATATCCTGAATCACATTCTGTTGATGGAAACAGAGACAGGAACCAAACCAAGAAGCCCAGAGACAGGAACTGATATAGAGGCCATGGAGGAGTACTGCTTACTGACTTGCACTCCATAGCTTGCTCAGCTTGTTTTCTTGTAACACCCAGGACCAACAGTCCATGGGTGGCCTCACCCACAATGGGGTGAGCCCGGCCCTCCCAAATCATTAAGAAAATGCCACACAGGCTTGCCTACAGCCCAATCTCACAGAAACATTTCTCAGTTGAGGTTTCCTCCCTCAGATGACTGTAGCTTGTGTGTCAAGTTGACATAAAACTAGCCCAAACAGTAAGTGTCTCTGTTCTTATGAATTTAATTTCATAACGGGTCCAAATAGAGTGATACTTATAAACACACAGATGATTCTGTAGCAATCGTTTACATCTAATGACAAACTGAGAGAAAAGTAAAAGAAGATATAAGACAATGAAAAGGAAAAGGAAAGGGATTTGAAAAGATGAAGTCAGGCAGAGGGAACAGATAGCCCCTGAGCTTCCGTTCGGCTTAGGTGTATTCTGAGGGTCTTCGTACATCGTGTTGTATGACCCTCGAAAAACCCTCGGAAGCAGGAAAACTCTTAATGTTTAAAACAAGGAAACAGAGACATAAAGGAGAGAAATCATAAATTGGGAAGATTTTTGAAGACATGAATTTGGAAGGAAATTGTAATTTTCTGAAGAAGTCTTAAACCTTCCCTGAGAACATAGCAGGGTTTAGCAGTGACACCTGAAGTAGGAATTGAGTGGAAGATTCTGAACGCGTGGGCTGCTCTAACTGGAGACTGAAGGGTAATCACCTCCGCTTTCAGCAACTCGCTGTGGTACGTTGTTCTGCTGGATCATGTATTCCACAAACAGTGTGAAAATAAGATGATGTGTTTTTCTTATCAAAACACTTATCAAAGTTGATTACGTAATGTTTATGTATTTCCTATCTGTTACATTTCTGAATTGTACTGAGTGAAATTTCAGATGTTGGAGTCACTGAATGCACTTTGTGGTCAGATACACCCTGAATGTGAATTTAACTTATTGAAAGGGTTCAGCTGAACAGGTATCCATGAGAGCCTTCTAGGAAAGCCAGAAATAAAGTGGCTTCCTGTTGACTGATTGTTGGATACTTATTATTGTGGTACAGTGAGTGAGTGCTGGTTTCTTTCAGAACTGGTAAGTATCCTCGTCCCCATGCGTCTTCTCGATGGTAGAACAATGGCTGCTATTGTAAAATCTACCTTTAATTACTGCAAGTTGGAAAGAGCCATGTTTTAATATAAACGATGCTTCAAAACAAATTCTGGACATATTCACTGCTTTTCTGTGTTTCTTCAAGTGAGAAATCGATTGTCTTTTTAAAAAATGACAGTTTTCTAAGCCCCAAGGTAGCTGAAATTAGAAAAACACAACTCTCCATCTGTTGTTAGTTCCCTCAGGATCTCAGCTCACTATAAAATCTGCAAATCTGGAAAAATCAAATTAGTTTCATTGTTTATCCTCTCAGAGAAAGACGAACGGACAAACAGATAAACATTCAGCACACTTACCATCGGTGGTACACCCCTGTAGGTATCTTCGCAAACCTTACAGATGTTCATTTCTTATCAGCTTCAGTCTCTCTCACACACAAAGTATTTTGATATTGTAATTGCTTCTTTGCAGTGTTATATTGAATATGGCTCACAAAGGCAAAGATTCATAAAAATCTCTTCTCCTGGTACTAAGAACTATAGACTGGAAAGATACCATCATTTCACTTTTGGCTATTAAAATGTAATTTTAGAAATCAGTTGTATTTTATTTTATGGATGTGTGTTATGTATATGAATCACATGCATGTCTGGTGCTCACAGAGGCCAGAACTAGGCATGCGATAGTTGGGAGCTGTCATTTGGGTACAGAGAATCTAATGTAGGCCCTCTAGAAAAGCAGCCAGAGCTCTTAATTGCTGAGTCATCTCCCCAGCCCCTAAAATGTAACTTTTTTAAAAGAATGGGGTGATTTTTTTTGTTTTTATTATTACATTTTTCTGTGTGTTGGTGTTTTGCCTGTGTGATTATATGTATGCATACATGTACACCATGTGTGTGCAGCGCCCCCCAGAGGCCAGGAGGAAACTTTGGCTCCCTTGGGACTGGAGTTAATTGTGAGCAACATATGGGTGCTGGAAATTGAGTCCAGGTCACCTAGAACAGCAGTGGTGCTTTTAATTTCTGAGTCATCACTCCTGCACCTAAAATATGACTGTCTGTGAGGCAGCAGAGCTGAAAGAGAAGGGTAATTGTACCACCAAGATGTGGAAACAGTAACACCTTTTCCCTTCAAAGCTTGGACTAAAGGTGTTTGCGGTTGCTCGCTCACAGGTACTGAATGTATAGGGCTGAGAAGTAAGCACAACTGCAGTTTGGAAAATAAGCAAAAGCACCTGCAGGCTCGCTGGGAAGGAATGGGAGAGCAGAGGGCATGTTGCACGCTGTACTCTTGGGGTGGTGA